CTGTTACTACTAGCGTGGCACTTGTTTCTAGTAGCTTCTTGTTACTAGTTGCGATGCAAAAGATGTTCCTGTGACGTCGCCAGACCGCCGCCGCCGCCGCAGCCGCGAGAAGGAAGAGCGGAGCCGCGGGCGACGCCGCGAGCGCAGCCGCTCGAGGCGGCGAAGCCGGTCCAAACGCTCCAGAGGCGGAGCGGCCACAGTAGGGTTAGGCGGCTAGAGGTAGGTAACTAGGTAGCAGTAGCTACAAGTAAGCTACTACCGACAGGACGCAGGATAGCTCGCGCATCCATGATTTGGTTTCTAGATGTATATTACTGTTTGCAAGTGTATTTCTATGGGATGTAGGGAAGGTGCATGTCAGATGCACTCACTCCGTTGCAAAAACCTTTTTTGTTGTTCTTTCCAAAGAGCACTAAGCACCACAACCTCCGGGCCTTTCGTCAGGCAAAGATCGTGACCGCGACCGGCGGCGACGCAGCCGCAGCTGAGTGACGCGGCGGAGCGTGACTGGTGTAGAGTGGCGGAGAAATGTGGCACCACGGCATCACCTGCGGTCGCAGCGGGGTAGGATGCAGTGGGACGTGATGATTGTGATCCTCCAACCATTAGGTTCCTAGTAGAGGGTAATGTGGCTTCATGTATGTCCAAATCTACATGGGTGACATGGGCCCCAGGGGGCGTAATATGGCTAGCATGTTTTCCAAGGTTGCAAGTTCACATTCCGTGAAAACCCTTAAATGACACCGACTTGGATTCCAAGTGCTAATCCTGTTTGCTGTTCCTGATACTAACCAGCGTCAACCAAGCAAAAGCCTATCCGTTGATGGAATGAGTGTTTACATACCAAAACCCGTACCATCTTTGGGAGATCCCACTGGTGCCAGGGGCCACCTACGAGGGGCAATGGAAGGGGAACCAACGCCACGGCGTCGGGCGACAAGAGTGGCCTGACGGGGCCTGCTTCACCGGTCAGTGGCGCAACAACTATGCTGAGGAGCGGCGAAGAGCCTGGGAAACGGTGAGACTACAACTAGTAGCAAAGGGCATCGCTACTAGGAGCAAGGACGCTACCAGGGGCTCCTGGCCTTACTACTAGTAGCAAGAAGCTACTAGTAACAAGGCACCGGATTTTCTGCAAGTTTACAAGCACATGTTGCCCGTGATCATCCATACCATTCATATCTCCCTTTGCACAGCGGTTCCCTGAAAACAATCCAAGCTTTTTCAGTCGACCATGTTTTCAATTTGGCAACCCCC